ATTATTACTGTGAATGTAATATATATTAAGTTTTTTTAAATTTTTTAATATAAATAGTTGTTTGATTATTTTTTGGATTTCTTTTGTTGACTTTGTACTTATACTTGTAAACATATAATCAAAAGAAATCATCGCTAACTAAGTAAAACCTTTCAATAAATTTTTTTATTTATTAAAATTTAATAATTATGTCCCAATGATTTAAAAATAGACACTTCTTTTGTTCATACTTTTCTCCATCTTTTATTTTTATGAGCTTTCTTTACTTAATTTTCAATGTACAATTGATTTATTCCCCGTCCTTCTTTTTTCAAATATTTTCTCAATATTTTATTAATCTCTATTGCCAATTTTTTGAATATTAGATTAAATGTCTAATGTGTAATTCTTTTTACCTGTCATGAGTCGGTTTTTGAATTTTATACCGCTAAAACTTAATTTTTTTGACAATGTTTCAGTTTAACTGTAAATTAATAATATATATAACTTGAACTAAATAGTTTATAGCAACTTGGCTTCTGGATTCCCTCTGTATTTCAGACATTATTATTTGCGATTTCATTAAGTACAATTTTATGTTTCTAATTTCTTCTTTCATAATAAAACGACTAAACCAGTAAATTAAATTTGTTTAATTACAGTAGATTAACTCAATTATTATCAATATGTAGAATTTAATTGAGAAAAAAGAAGAAATTATGAGATTAATATTTTTTTGGATAAAAAAATTTAAAATTGTAATGATAAATTATTTTTAAATACTTTCCGTGTACATATATCAAAATATCTTAATATTTAAATTATAAAATAGCAGAACAATAAAATTAAAAATATCATATTGGCTCTTTATAGATATCTACATATAGTTATAGATGAAATTGTTATTACTTATATTTTTATAACGTCAAAATTTGATGAATTGCGATATAGTTATGTCTCCAGAGATAAAAAGATATCACTAATATTGATTTTTTGATGATTGAACATTGACAAATGATTAAAAGTTTTATGGAGTTTAAATGAGTGAATAATATTATTGTATGTTTTATTGTAACATTATAATGTAAATATCAAAATTGAAATGATTCTTATAGATGATATAAAGTTTATAATTAAACGTATGCGATCTTATACCTCTTCTTTCTTATAGATAGAAAATTATTGATTCATACATTGGACCTGCTACTACAAAAATACAAAATTTTATTATAATATTATTGAAAAATTTAATTAACAACATTTATTCTTTATAAAATAATCCTGTCCGTGTAACTTTCCTACAAATAAATATTATCAAGCTTTAACCATATATTTTAATGTAATTTAATTGTCTATTTTATGTATTATGCGATTTAAAATATAAGAAGTAACAGCTTATGAATGTAATTTAACTCCGGAATATTGAACCTAATGTATTCTATTGAAATCTAATGTATACATTATATTAATTATTAGATGTATGTATATTATTAGATATTATTAGATATGTATATTATTAGATAAATAATAATTAGATGTATATATTATATTAATATAAATTATATATATTAATTTGTCGTCGATAGATACCTTGTGGCGAGGCCGTGTCAAATGTTCCGTCGCATTAGTTTTATAACGTGTTTTTGCTGGACACTTGGACCATTGTCCTCGCCAGCTGTGTTTATGAATTGTATTTTCTTTAGATATTCGAAGTTTTTCTGAATTGTTTAGATTTAGTTAATCCGAGGCGCGTTTGAATGTTTAATCCTTGAGTAGTCGATAGTTCGCTTTTTTCGGAACTCTTATCTCGAATTTTCCAGAATGTTTAATGAGCTGGAAGTTTTCTTACATTCTCGAACAAAATGTATTACAAAAAGTTATTTATATAATATATCATAATATTTTGTTCTAACATAAAGTTGAATATCTGCTAATATAATAATATTTGTATGATTTTTTATATTTTCGTGGACAAAATGTATTAACACAATAAATATTTCCATTAGAATGAATTTATTGTAATAAATATTTAATAATACTTAAAATAATTATAGTGTATGTACAAAAATTGCGAATAAAATTTATATAAAAAAATGTAAGAAGTTTTTAAAATTTTTAATAAACAATATTTTTAATAAGTATGAAACAATTATAATTTGTTTAATTTCGTTATTTTCATTTTTAATCATTTCTTTAGCAAATATTTTCGGCTTACAATAATAAAAATAAATAATTAATTTTTATTAAAATATTTATTAATAAATTAAAGTAATTTAATTTAAATAAAATAAAATAAAATTAAATTAATTTAAATAAAAGAACCTAATAATTCCGCCAGAGGCAGTAGCATACATAATTTTTGACGACTAGTACTGAAGCTTAGCAGTATATCTTAATAGAAGTTGTTTAATAGTGTCGTTAATAGATGAAGTGTTACTATTTTAATTTTTGATTTAACAAATATATTAATTATGATAGTTGAAAGAATGTTGAAAATTAAATTATTACAGTAATAATTTAGTTACTAATGTTAATTTCATATTTTATTTTACAAAAGTTTATAGACTAAGGCGTGATAAATACTTTACTGGTAAATGTATTATATTAAGAAATGTAAGTGCAATAACGTGAAATCTATTTTACAGTTTCAATTTTGATAATTAAAGAATTTCTAAATTAAAATAAAGTACACATTTTTTTATCCATTAACTGAAAAATGTATTTTTTAAATTATAAATATAATAATTAATGATTGTTTAACTACATTATTATATTTGATAATATTAAATAATATGTAACAAACTAAATTTTTTTGTTTGACTATATTTAAACTTTATTTTAATATAACACAATATAATATTTGTATTAAAAGATTAAAAAATGTAAATTCTGAAATATTAAACATTGTCTCTGAGATTTAATCCTTAATCTGTAAAGTAAATATATATATATATATATGTGTGTGTGTGTTAATATACACACATATATTTATATATTATTATTGTAATAATCATTTTCAATATTTTTAAAAAATTAAAAAACTTTAACATATTAATGTAATATATACAGTCTATCTACTTATAATCCTTTTAAATATATAAATACAGATTATTTTTTTGCTTGTACAATGCTAATATATATTATAAAGTATTATTAAATATAGTACTATCTTAATGATACAATACTTTTCTATATTTTATAAATCTTATTATCAAAACTGATTAATATTATAAATCTAATTAATTATTAAAAACCAAAGCAAAAATAAAAATAAATAAATATTCCTTTATTAAAAATATACTGTAAATTAATATGCTTGTACTTTGTATATATTGTGAAGTGAAGCTCTTGTCCAATAGCTATTTTTTATGGTTTTTTAAAATATGTATTAAATATATTAGATTTAAATAAATAATTTAGCAAATAGAAAAAATTTTTATTACATATTGATAAGATTTTGTTAATCCCATAAGATTATTATAATTTTAAAAAGCAATTTTAATTTTAATTTATTTTTTGGACATAAATCTAAGATTTTTAGTACTAAATAAATACGTGACATTTAATTTTGTATCAATTTTAATATTTCATTACCATTTCTTTTAAGGAAAATGTCTTAAAAAATTATACCATAAATTCAAATATATACTACATTTTTGTATTAGTAGTAAAATACATTAATGTATCATTAATATAATATAAAAATATTTTATGTATTTAGTAATATTATATATAATAATGTAGACAACAGATATATAAATAAAATTCCTTAATTGGAAGTCTGATTCCTTTATTAAATATCTAGATTACCTAATGATGTACTGCAAGCAATGACTATAAATATTATTTGTATTATAGATTTTTAAAGATTAACAATGGATCTGTGGTTGAAAACTGAATTAAAGTGACTGTCAATTGAGAATAATTTTATTTTTTAAATATTTTTTTTTTTTTTTTTTTGTAAAAACAAAATATAAAAATTTTAAACGTCATCTATTATGGGAAATAAGAAAAATAAAACTAATAACAATTGTATCAGAGTACAATAGTATTCTGAATTATATTAAAAATAAACATTATGAAAGTTAACTGTATAATATGGGATATTCGATAAAAAATTGGACCTGAAAGTTGAATTAACCTCATTCTCAATTTTGTAATAAAATCTATGTTATAAATTAAAATGAAGATAAACTAACTACAAATTCATTATTGTAATTTCTTAAATGTTGTACCAAAATATATCAAATTAAGTGTTCCATATCCAATTTAATTGAAAATGATTTATGGACTTTGTAAAACAGTAAAATATATCAAGCATGTAATGAAGATTATGAATTTAGTAGCATTCAAATAAATTAAAAATTATATTAAATTAAGTTTTCTCTAATTAATTAAAATAAATAATCTCAGTGAATATATTAATGATAAATATTAATATATAAATGGATATTGTTAAACGTATATTAGAAGTATTTATTATAATTACTATAAATTTATTATCTATAATATATGATAATAGACATTCAATTATATTAAAAGTATTGTTCATACATTCTTCTCTCTTTTTATGCTTGCTTTACATATGTATATTCCGGTATTGTAAAAAATTATACAGGATATCCTAATTTCTAATTAAAAATTAAAAATTTATTAAAGTGGTTATGAAAATATTTTCAAGTTTATTGTCTGAAAATTTATTTGAAAGAGTTCAAGAGTTATCTGAAATTTTAGATAAATATATATAGTATACTGAATAGAATAAAGCTTTAAAATTTATATTTTCAGGACAATTTAAGATAATAATAAAAATTACATCTTAAAAGTGCTTTTTTATGATTATTTTATATTGGTTTTATAATTTAAACTTTAAATATGTAGTTATTATTTTTAAATATTATCAAATTTAATAAAAGTTATTTAAAAATAACTACATTTTAAAATATTGATTTAAAAAATTTATAATGATTAAATATTAAATACATTTGATAAAAATCTATAACCTTTTTTCAGCACTAGAAAATGAATTGTGTACTATTAAATAAGCTAAACAATTTTTTAATTAATGTACACTTGTCACGACTTAGACATACTAAGCATTGGAATCCTAAATTTAAGAAACAAAGGCAAGAAAAATTTTTTAAACCAGATGTAATTAAAAGAAAACACAATGTAAATGGTTTATCAGAAGATATTCTACATACAAAAATGAAAGAACGTGGAATTTATCCTAGTAAACCATGGCAAGAAAGTGCGATTTATATTAGCTGCACAGGAGATGTTTTTGAGCCTTATATCCCACCAGAAGGCGATGGTAAATTTTCGTCTCTATCAACAATAGTAAGTTAAACTTAAATCAATTAAAAGATAGATATATCAATATATAAAATTAATACCCCAAGTGCAAATTCTATCATTGGATGACTAAAAGTTGAATGTTATGGATTTGAATGGGCCTGCAAAAATGAAAAATATCAAAGAAATATTATGGTGTAAAATTTAATGATATACATAACTACTGTTGTATTTCATTTTTATTGTAAAACGTTATTTATCTGAAAATTGCATATAAAAGGAGTAAAATGTGATTTTTAGTAGCAACTTTTAGTAGTTAGTTGCACATATTTATATTTATAAACTTTCTTTCAGATTTTTAATGCTATTCAATTTATTTGTAATAATTTATCAAGAAATTTGTACTTATTAACTACTTATTAACTAGTAGTATGTAATTTATAAGTCCAAAATTTTTTAATCAAGTAAAAATTAATTTTGGGAAAATGCTAAAAGAACTTGGACATAATTTAGTATAGGTTATTGGTTTAGAGAAAACATTTTTTAAACACAATTATATTATCAATTAAAATACATCAATAAGAATTATACTAACTGTATTTAACATAAATTTATATGTCCCCAAGTTTTCAAAATTATAAATACTTCAAAGTACATTTATAGTATTTTAATTTATTATATAATTGTGTTTAAAAAATGTTTTCTCTAAACCAATAACCTATACTAAATTATGTCCAAGTTCTTTTAGCATTTTCCCAAAATTAATTTTTACTTGATTAAAAAATTTTGGACTTATAAATTACATACTACTAGAGATATTTGAAGTTTTGTTATGAAGACAATTTTGTCTAAAATAATTAATTTAATGTGTATAATAACAACTTAACGTGTAAATAGTACCTATATAATATATCAACTAAATAATTTATTTACATATTCTATTCATATATTAAATAACAAAAAATTATGAGTTTTATTATTACAGGGTGCAAAACAGAATGCTGAATATTTAATGAAAAAAACTAAATCTTACCAAGCTGTCATGACTATTAAAAAATTTGAAGAAGCATTTGATGTAATTGATTTTGCAAATGAATCTCTTGACATTTATATTAAAGGTCATGAAATATTAGCCAGGTAAATGTTAATTAAATTACTATATTTTATCAATCTATAATATTACATTCTATCATAATGAATAATCAATAATAATAATAATGAAGTTGCTTTATCTACACAAAAATTATTACATTGATAGTTGTTTATATTCATATATAATTAGCTAAATTTTATCATTTTATTAATACATATTTGAGTATATAAATACATATTTCGTTATATGAAAACAGATTTTAGAAATACAAAATATTTTAATATATGAATACATATTTCAATATATCAATACATATTTTCAATTTCATACAATACATCATCTTATAGTTTAGTTTTGATGATTTAGTTAATTGATTATTATATTACCCTTTATTAAACTAAGTATTAGAGTTACATTTTAATCTTAAATGGTATCAAGTAAAAATATTGAATTCTTGTAATATATTGTATTTATTAAAATTACTAAAGAGTAATTCAGTTAATTAATTTATTAATAAAAAAGATTTAACAATAATTGAACATATTTTAAGAATTTAAAAATAATGCATATTTAAAATTTTAAATGCATATTTTGAAAACATTATTGAAACAATCTTTTTAATTATATTTTCTGAAATATATTTGGAAATAATTAATACATATTTTTTAAATATAAATACATTGTTAATTGACTAATTTCAATTTTTGTTATTTAGTTATATTGTATTTATTTGCAATTAGTATCAATAGAAAACTCAATGCAATTACTGTTTAAATCCGAAATCTATATTCATATAAACTACTAATTATGAATCGCCAACTAGTCATTATTTCAAACATTAATATAGTTCACAATTGAACAATAGATAACACCTCCATATTACGCGATTCGTTACTAAAACCTTTAGTAGTACTAATATTCATCAATATGAAATCAATACAATGATATGCTATCAAGATATATACTTATCAAAAAGTTAAGAAAAATTCAGAAAAATAATGAATCTAAGATTGAAAATATGAAACATTTTAGAATAAGCATAAAAAACTATAAATAAAAAAGCAACTAGAATATAAAAATAACAATAAAGGATTATAAAAAAAAAATATATATATATATATATATATATATTGTATATAATTTAATTAGGTATAATATGTATTGATATTATTTTGCATTGAGACACCTGAATTTATTTATATGTAATATGATAATGTAATGATAATATATATTTTAATATTATAATGAATAAAAATATTCAATTTTAACAGACAAGTTTTTTTATTATACTTAATATTGATTAAAATAACTAATATCTAAAAATCAACTTGATTTTTGTAGTTTTTAGACCAGTATTTACAACTAATTTTAATTAATGTTATTATATTCTTAATTATACTGTTAATAAATTAAATGGAATAATATTAGCGGAATAAATTTATGTAGATAAATGTGAATTGTTATAATTTTGTTTCCTGACTTAGTTTACTTTTTTCCCGTTAAATTATAAGTAGAACATAGCATCTTTTTTTTCTACAATCCAATATTATGTAACATGTATTTATATCTGCACAAAAATAAACTAATGGTGTTTTATTTCGGAACATATAAGACCATTCAATATTTTTAATTTAATAAAAGCTATTCTCTGTATTTTATACATACTGTGTATTGTATATAATGATGTAAATAAATGTAAAAAATATGCTAAAAAAGTTGTTATTTGTTAACATTGCTCAATAAATAAATCAAATCTACTTAATAAAGTAATACAAAAAATTAAAAATAATTATAATAAAAAATAAAGATAATAAATTAGATGAAAGTAAACGAATCATTGGATTATTTAAATATGATTATTTAATGTAAACATACGTGAATTCATATCTATCAATATTTAAATTAATTTTGAAACAATATTACTAAAAGTATAAATAATCGTTGGCAATAATCATATAATACCATTGAAAAGATAGAGCATTTATTATTGAACAGGAATAATCTATACTTAAGCTAAATATTATATACAATATAATATGGTATAATCTTAATTCTATTTATGAGATACAAAATAAGGTAGCTTAAATTTAATTTTCTCTTTTTACATTTTAATTAACATATTATAATTATTAATCACTTATCAAGATTTAGCAATTTTCTAAAATTATATTAAATTCGGCAACTTTTTATTTAACCTTGAAAGTATTATTTAAGTAGTATTTTTGAAAGATAAAATTTATATTAAGCCCGAACATTTAATTTTTTTTCTTGTCAAAATAACAATAATTTAAAAACATTTAATAAGTGATAATCATCTATTATTAATTATTCATTTATTGTTTATTATCAACTTTTTAATTTAATCGTATAATATTATTTCAGAAAACAAAAATCTAAATTAAAAGGTTTCGTAACTGAAAAATTATTTCCGGTATGTATTCATTACATTTTATTTTTCATAGTCATCCTTATTTAAATTAAATTCTTTTTTTTATAATTTCTTAACTAATAAAATGAATAAAAAAATCATTTCACATTTTGCGAAAAGGTCAACCTTATAAATATATATAACTGAATATTTCCTTCGTCCGGGATTGGTAGCACTGCCAGTTTATGTATTGGTCTAACCATAGTGGTCGAGGCTATTTTTATTGTGACTACTCTAGGTAGCCCATCCTTGTCAGGATGAATGTTGATTACTCAGACGAGGGGTCACTTAGACGGAGGAATACGCTTATCGGTGATACGTACCATTGATCCAATCTTTATGTCATTCTGTGTATGATGCCATTTGGAGATCGATTGTTGTCGTTGTAAGTAATACGCTGACCAATGTGACCAAAACTGTTGAACTTGTATTAATTGCCATTGAGACAGTCTTGAAGTGACCAAATCATTTAGGGATGATTCAGGTATTGTTATAAGTGAATTCTCGATAAGAAAATGATCTGTAGTTAGCGCCGAGAAGTCATCAGGATCATAGCTCAACGGCTCTAGAAGTCTAGAGTTTAAGATTGCCTCAATCTGAGATACTAGAGTAGTGATTTCTTCAAAGGTAAGCAAGGTTTCTCCGATTGTATGTCTCAGATGGAATTTTGTGGACTTCAGCACCGCTTCGCATTTTCCTTCCATGTGAAGTGCAGCGGGTAGATTGAATTCCTGTCGAGAACTGTCTTGCGAGAGTATCTGATCGCTATCCGATGATGTTCTTGGGAACCTTGTGTGAACATTTTTTTTAAAACCTAATCCTCGTCATCAAAGGTTGTACCACAATTTGAGTACAATATATATGGATACCTCTACCAGCCGAAAATCTTCGGTATACTACGATGACTCCTTCTGTTGTATAATCGCTAACCTTCTCAAGATATAACGCAGACGCAGCAAAACAGACAAAACCGCAGATTAATGCCTTATGGGGTTTTGCACCTCGTCGCTTCCAGGATTATATGGTTAAGGGGCCGGCATAGTCAATGATCACCTGATGGGTGAAAGGTCGTGATGGTGTGTCTCGAGAAAGAGGTAGTTAGTTCATCAATTGACGAGCACGAGAATCCAATATTGTTGACGGGTGTATGCCAGCATGAGTTGGGTGCTTCCGTGCACAGTCACTGCCAGAGAGTATTTCTGTCCTCGTCTTCTACCTATTCAAAACTAAATATCAAGCACGAAAAGTAGATGTGTTAGATACTGAATTGAAGCACTACCCCTTCCACTTGCCCACACTTTTCTCCCACCAGGCAAGTGGTGCCATCGTTTAATTCTAAACATTTTGGTCCTTCGATCCGGATAAGTGGAAGTCACTGCTCATTCACTGTGGAAGTCATTCCTTCAGTATTCAAAAGATCAACAGACGCACCACTACACTCTGATGATATACCATCGCAACACTGCAGTTTCTATAATAAGGACACACGGTAACTGTGTCAGAACGCACTAACGATTGTCCTCACTGCTGTAAGTATTCCATTATTGTTTTTATCATTTACTACATCACTAAGAAAATGCCAAATCGCGAGAAGATGGAAACAAAGGGAAGTACAAATCCTGAAGTACCTATTACAGTAGAAAGCTTTTAACAAAAAGAACAACTACCTTGAGTTAACATGGCCGGTAGCATTGAAAAATCATGAATACTTCACGAACGCACAAGGAAAAGAACTTGACCAGTACTCAATTGTGCAATCACTCATCAACAAACTACGTCGTGAATTAAATAAGTCAACAAAACCGACCACAAGGTCGGAAGATGCATCACCAATCAAGTCGAGTGGGCTTCTCTGATAAGGTAGACGCGGGCCGCGAATGATCACGAAAAGTTTGCCCGGGGTGGCGTGACCGGCAATGTCTACCGATCAGGATCGACGCCCTCTTTAGCGGTCTGATAAGAATCAAATCGAATGGGCTTCTCTGATAAGGTAAACGTAGGCCGCGAACAGTCACGAGAAATAGCTGAGGGTTCACGAGAAGTGTAAGTAATATGCTGGAGATGCTAGTCTGTCGTCGTCCTCAATGCGATCTGACTAGCATCACGTTGCGGAGGATGCACCGATAGCTGGCTAGCAATAATAATAATAGAATATACAATAAATATACCTTGCACGGAATCCCTTAGATGAGTTTGACTTTGGCAGATATGACTGGCACTAGCTTCACTTGAGTAATTCAACAAGACTGATTTCCTTCTCCATTTGTTGCTTCTTAAATACGATTGCGTACATTTTGTGTTGTAAATTTTTGGAGGTTCTAGTGAATTCTCTGGAAGCAAACTTTGATACGTTCGAAGAGCTGCTCTTGTTGCTATGCGTACAAGGTATGCGGCTAAAATTTTCAATGAATATTTCATAACGTATAATTCAAATATTGCGCCTTAATCTCAATATAATATATCATAATCGTATTATAATAAACAATAAATTATTATTTTTTGTTAGGTAGTTCAATCCTGAACAGTCTACAAAAAATATTCTATAGTTATAAGCACCGAAAATAAGCAGTATTAAAAATTACCACATTAAAAACAACACAACCTTTAATGTTTAAAAAATTGTAAAATCTTCGTTTAAAGAAAATATTTAGTATAAACGATGGAAGATTAAATTAAAGCAATAATATGAAATATTAATTTTCTTTATATTTATAAATTTAATGCAAATGAGAAATTCGAATTGAATTTATTACAAATTTATTACTTATTTGTAAAATTAAAGTGTTAGAGAAGATATTAAAATTATCAATATTTTAATTAAAAATCTATAAATAATATTCGTCTTTATGTTTGATTAATAATAATAATAATTTTTTATTAATATTTAGTTTTTGAACATTTGTTATTGAATGTTACTGGTGAAAAATAATTTATAATGATTATTATAGGAATTATTTTATAATTTAGAAAATAAAACCATCATATGGAAATTTATAAAATCCTTAGAACCTGCCAGAGTAGTTCATTCGAGGTGCACAAATTTGTTAACAGATGATAATATTTTTGCACAAATTACGGTTCGCCTACATACTGAACAGGTTTATAATTTTAACCAATCTTTAATTTATATACAAAATAATTTCCTTTTATAAATATTATATTTTGTAGATTTTAGCTGTATATGATCGATTTGGAAGATTAATGCATGGTTCCGAAATATTAAAAAAAAATGTACTGGAATATATAGTATTTGAAAAACATCTAAGTAATGAATATGGTCAGTGGCGTCTGCATTCAAAAATTATACCTTCATGGATGCCTTTAGGACAATGTATAACAAAAACTTTTGTAACAAATTGATAAGCAATAAAGTATTTTAATTAATGGTAATAAATACATAGTTAATAATATTTGAAAATTCATAAATTTTTAAATGATACAGCAATATAAATATTAGAACAAAATTAAATTATTATATTTTTACTTTGAAAGTACATAAACAAAGTATTATTTTTTTTTAAGTTTTAATTTATCATATAATTTACTTATAAATGACTACTGTTGTAAATCTATTTCACCAGTTTAATAGAATCAATTTTTCAAAAGATTGTTAAAAATCAATACAATAAAATAATATAACAATTATTATTATTTTCAAAATACTGTATTATTACTTATATTTTCTTGGATTAAAAACGCATAACTATTTTATGAGCCGCTGTATTTTTTGTATTTGTATATATCACGTAATAATACATATAACATTTTATGTTCATTAGGTCCTCAATCGTGATTATTTTAACAAATATTACTTAATATTTAATATTTCATTTTTAATCGTACATAAGTTTAAAATGTATTACTCTTTCGTCTTATTTGTTTTGGTAAATTTTCTAACAATATAATTTTGTTATATCTGTCTAGGATTAGACTAAACTCCCAGATGTTGGGTGCGAGGAATGCGGGAAGTCGAAGGGTTAGCAAATTCGTTCAATAATTAACTACAATTGCTTATCGTGCTCTTTATTTTGCTTATTTTATAGACTACACAATAAATATGATTCTAAGGTGGTGCTGAGAATTAGTAAGATCTTGCAGTTCGGTGGTAGTTGTCACGTGTCATTAGCATACACTTCATGCAGAGGTAGGAGGTGTAAATTTCCTGATCCTCTGATCTAGTGTGCTTGGTGATAAATAGTTATACTGAAAGTAAGAGGTTGTAAATCTCTGGTACTTCTTTGTGTAGTGCCACGTGATCGTAACGTATTCAATTAAATGCCCTTCAAGGCCGTCCGCCCGTGCTTATCTTAAAATTAGATGGCTTTCACGGATGTTGGCATTCGCGGGAGCTTCGCGATCCAATAAATGTCTTTATAACCGGTGTTTTTCTCGTACACCTTCAGCCGTTCGCGGGAGCTTTGCTCCTATAATGCCTATTTCGGCGGGTGCACTCGCGCCTTCAATGCCTTACGAGACACACACAATACGTGCTGCTTCCTGATCTTTCTTGGAATGCAATCAACGCTCTTGACTGCTTGAACTATAGTGTACTTAAACAATTATAAATTATAATGGCTTCAGTGTATTGGCTTACTATTTATCGTTGCAGAGATTGGCTGAATTATGTGCGTATGATTAGTAAAACTGACTGACTGGTATAGGGCGGAGTTTAGTTGCTGCATACAGTAATTACTGGTAACTGATTGATCGAGAAATTTACAGTGAGCCTCGAAGTGGTGAGCTGCTCTTAAATATCGGTGCAGCAGTTTACTAAGCTGATAACAGTGCATAGGTGTGTTGCTAGACCGAAAGTCTGGTAACGTCAGAAACTAAGCTCTACAAAATTCGAAGTTTCCAGAAAGACAAAGCCTTAGAAGGTTCTAGAAGTTTCATTGGCGTTGCTATGCGGAAATATTGTCGTAATTTGAATTTAAGGCGTAGAAAAATTCTCGGATTCGTAGAAGCAATGTGTACAAACATAGGCGTCAAAGGGCTTGTACTTTTCCCATTTTAAAGTACTTGGAAATTGCTCCAATTCCGAACAATATCAAATTTTTGTATTTGTTTTGTAATCTACGATTAAAATTTTCTCCAACGCTTTATAAATTTTATTTAATATCTTTTTTAATCTAGAAATAGTTTTCTATTATATAAAACTGTATTTTGACAAAAAAAAATTTTACTTAATTATTTTCGAAAATTCTTTGTATGCTTTTAATTAAATAATAATTATAATTAATTTTTATCAATTAACAAACAGTATGTCTGGTTTCTATTTATTACTTTTGTAGTATTATAATTTTTTTATAAATACAAAGCGTATTTCATTCTGTTGTAATTCAGTAATTTGTTATGAAAACTATAAATTTTCAAGATTTTGATATAATTGTTACCAAATTGAATTCGTATTACATTTGTTTTTGTACGTAATATAACCTGTTTTAAAGATTAGCAAATGTATTTCTAAATACTTTTTTACGAATCGTTATTGGTACTTATAAATTGTTAAATATTAATATTTAACAAGAATAAAACAATGAATTATCATAATGGGTACTTTTAACTACAAGGTTTATTTGTTAGAAATTTCAATAAAAGAACAATTTTCAGTTTAGAAATCAGTTAAGATTGCACACTCCCTCAAACAGATTTTGCAAATTTTTGTAATTTAGAAATTATATTTGTTTATAGTATTTTAAGAATTACATAAACAAATTTACAACTAATTTAACTGGTATTCATAATTAGGTCATTTTTCTTACAAAATTTAACGATCACTAGTACATTAGTTTTTTACTTTGTATTTCAAATGTTTTTCTACAAAATGAGTTATGAAAGTAATAGAATATATTATTTATGTATATTAATAAATTGTAAATTGAGTAATGAATTTAAATGAAAAAAAAATAGTATTTTTGATAAATTAAAGTTTTAATTGCTTTCAAATTGGATTGAAATATTAACAATTATATACTCACTTGATGAATTGATGACTTATTACATAGTTTGAATATGTATAAAATTAAATAAATATATTTGACATAAAAACATAAACAATATAATAATATAAATAACAAATGAACTTTCATCAATATTGGGTTAATTTTTAATTAGTAATTGATCTGATATTAACCACACCTTATAAACCAGTTTGCTAAGAACAATATTATACTTCACATTATAAAAAAAACCATATATTTTATTTATATAAGATAAAGATGTCTTGTCGCTTCAAAATTATTTAAAATAATGTGAAGAATTACCAAATAAAATATGTATACTGTAATAATATGGATGATGTATAACCTGAAATGATAAAATTACTAGTTAATTTATATTCCTAAATTATAATATTTGTGAATGTAAATGGTCGTAATAATATTTTTATAAGTGAAATCTAATGAACCTAAAAAGCTGAAATTTCCAATAATGATAAATATTTGATATAATATTAACGGTCTTTCAAATTATAAAAAATGAGTAATTTTTAATTTATTTTTATACAAATAAAACATATCTTAAGAGTAAAACATATTTGAGTTTATACTAACAATCATTTTCACGTAGTACAAGCTAATACAAATTAATCTCTAATCTTTAGTAAAGTTATCCAAGATTAAGTAATAAGGGATATCAATAATATTTTAAAACTATTTTATTTAATAAAATAATCTATTTCTAATATTTTACGAAACAAGAAAATAAGTGTCAGCAATTTATCGATCACAGTTTTAAAGAATATATATAAGACTATTTATTTTAAATTCCTTACTAATTATATTTATAATGTTCGAGCAATATTAATAGACACAATACTTGGATTTATAAGTTATAAATCTAAAAAAATATTTTCTAACCGAAGCGTTAGTACTGTGTATAGCCAGAGGATGAGAATTAAATATTACAAAATCAAAGCATAAATATAAAAGAGAAACAGAGAGAACATATTACCTAGGTGAATACACAATAAAGAATAAACTCATTAATAAAATATATTAATACTTATATTAATCAATTGTAATGAAATGGAAAGACGTAATGAACAATTACAAAATCATTTTTGTTAACGAATACAGGAGAGAAAAATAAAGAAGATTACTGTCATAGGAAGAAAAAGAAAATAAGAAGACAATATAGGGTAAAATCTTTATGCTGTAATATACAAAAGTAGGGAAAAACAAGGCCAATTTGGTAAATTAATTAGCTATAGACCTATAGATAAATTGTCACAGAAGTTTGATTTTTCTAATGTAGTTTCCCTGTTGCAAGTGTATAAAAATTTATGTTAATAAAATTATTAAAGTAAACTAAGAAAATATAATTTGTGTAACTTGGATATATATATATATATATATATATAAATGTATAACTAACCCACATTAAATAAATTGAATTAATAATTTTTAATTGTTTAAAATAAAAAAAAAATCTCAGGAACTAGGGGAATAATTAGTTTATTTTTACTGCAATGTAATACAAAGGACTTAAATAGTGGCATGATTTTACATAACCAAAAATGCCAGTTTTGACCTATATCCTATATAAATTCACTACATGGTTTCATATAGTAGTTTAAAGTAGTTATAATATTGATTAACAAATATATATATATATATATATATATATTAATCGGAAAAAAATATAAGGATAATCTATCTGCACAGAATACCGAAATTAATTTTCTTTATACAAACTATAATTTAAAATTCATTGCAGCTACTAACAAGTAATTTGTAATAGAAAAATAAAATTTTCCATTTAAATAAATTGTAAAGATTTTTTATCATTATTATTTTAAGTATTCAAAATATAATAGTAATGAAATTACTAAATTGTTTGATAATGTAATAACGATTAATATAATAAATTTTAATCAATTATTGTACAAAATGCACCTTGTCGTTCCGACTTATATTATCAAGGCCGGTTCGACGGATACAATTTGATGCCGTTGACAACTAAGAGACTACAGGTGTTGTGTGATAGCGATGACAGGTCACAAGTGGAAGAGATATGATAATAATACAATATAAATATGGCTGATGAGGGTTACTAAATGAGACGCCCCTGGCGGGCGCGAAACTTGACGACGCGTACTGGAATTTATTCCGCACTATCGTATTAAGAGTAGCTTCCTTGTTCTTGGTACTTGTTGATGTAATACTCTGAATCTCAATCTATATATATTTATTGTAGTAGATACTACTTACAAAGACTAATCGTTGACTCATCTTCGGACTCTGATAGGCGGATTGTCGTGGCTCCCTTGGAACAAGTAACTACGGTTTCTTGAACTGAGTTAGTGGACATACGGGTTATGTCGTAGTTTTTCCGGGGCAGTAACTACTGTTCCAGTAACAGTGTTACGGACAATCCGAAGAAGTGAAAGTCGTTCCCGAAATAGCGTTAA